ATCTACATTGTAGTCCAAACCCAGTTGACTGTTGTGCGGAGTGGTCCAAAATGCTACAGGACCAATAGCTGAAGGTCCGGACCACTCAAGACAGGGGAACTCTGGTCCGGTGCTCTCTGTGGTCCAGAGGATCCAGTAGGCTCAGAACCATTGTGAAATATCCCTGATGATCTTTATCGCACGGGAGATGTAAGAGTAAATATTCGCGAATTTCTTCGATGCTTTTGAAGCCTGGAAATGGTGCAGTAGGGATGTTGCGTGTGAGTGGAACCTGCGTGCCCACGAGTGCACTTGTAAATGCAGGCTTGAGCTTTGTAGGTGCTGGCGGAGGTGTAGAGAAACTGCCATAGTCTTGGTTTGTTCTCGTGCGAACTTCCGGGTCTGAGTCTCGAGATCAAGTAAGCTTACAAGCATTCGACGGTGGCAACTGGTATTGACGCATACCCGAGCCCTCATCACTTTCCGGTGAGTCCATAACATCCTCCTGATCTGCAATGTACCCCTCAGAATCCGAATCTGATACTTCTGATATCAAGGCTTCATGTGTGTTGTCAAGCAGATCGCCGATGTACTGGGAGAGTGCCGCCAGGCTCAAAGAATCTGTGGTGTGGATTATAAGTTAGGGCCCAGAATGGTGTCTTAGGGGGGCTCGAAGTGCACCGTGACTCACCGGCGTATTCACTTTCGACTGATCTCTGTCGAACGCAGACTGCGTTTATGCAGCAGCTTTCGGGAGCCCGGGAAGTGCGTGCGAGCTGGCTCGCCAAGGCAGGCAGAGCGCGGGCCAGACATGGTCATGAGAAAAGAATGGAAAGACAGTTAGGGCGGCGAGTATCAGGAAGCATCATGATGGTATTAGGTGGGTTCAGTACATTAAGCATATTAGGGGAGTTAGCTCTACGAGGCGCGGACTCGTCGAGCTTGGTGGCGTCAAACCCTAACCTCCGAGAATTGGGCGCCTTTACCCACCGTTAGCCGTCAGTCGTTGGCCTACCCACTTCCTAGGTTACCACTAGCTCAACGTTAGCTTAGGGGGTTTTCCCTGATGAGGATGAGTCAAAGGATAAAAGGAATAGGAACAAAGGAGGGGATATGAAACACGAGACACACGAGGTGTCGAGAGCCCAGGCCGATGAGGCGGGCGGGCGCACTGATGGCATCAGGCGCCACCAAGCCTGTCGTCCTACAAGGGGAGGGTTAGTGTCCTAGCCCTTACAGCGTACATGGTGCATTTATTGCGGGTGCATCAACTTTCGGACCCAGGGCGCACTGCGACTCATATACCCTCTCCGCGCATTGGTGCGCGAGCCCCCGTGCAACTGCCCTTTTCACCCTTCTTTTATCCTTCTTTTCTCTTCTCTTCTCTTCTCTTCTCTCCCCTACCTTACCTTTTTTTCTGCACGTCTACCGTGAGGGTTGTTGGATTTTGGGCTCGTGCGCTCGCACGCACATGTCTCGGGATGGCTCAGATTCCTATTGGACAGTACTTTATTAGATAGCATGCTCATTACTTCGTTCCTGACTTACCTGTTGCTAAGGCACCTCCCGCTTTCCTTAATTACTCGAATTTCCCTGTCGTGCACGCTCAGAGACTTCCCTTCTTCTGAGCGTGCGTATATCCTCTCATTATGGACACTGTAGGATACTGACTGTATTGCAGTACGGACTGAGCGTTCGTTCTGCTAGGTAAATACATCTCAGAGACTTTCCTTCTTCTGAGCTACGGACTGAGCGTCCGTTCTGCTAGCCTCAAGCCCTCCCGACAGTCGAAGCCGGGCCCTGCGTGTGAGAAACTAATTGCGAAGAGTTTCTAGAAGTGTCCCGGACACTTACTGTTTTAATTTCATGTCTACTCCTGCTTGTGCCGCATCCAGCGTATGCTCACTCCCGCTCCCGAGCGGAGTGCAAGCCATGGAAAAGAGTGGCACAAAGCGAGGGTTCCGTTTCTGGATGGTTATTCTAGCAATCTGTTCTTCTTTGTTTCTTAGTGCACTCGAATTGGTGAGCGCCATACCCCCCCTTCCTTGAGAATTTGAGAGCTGATTCTTTCGTGCAGACGGGAGTCGCGACAGCCCTGCCCACGATCGTTCACGATCTTAATGGAAACGACTTTGTCTGGGTATCCTCCGCGTACTCGCTCGCGGCGACCGCTCTGCTTCCCATGTCTGGCGGCTTGGCACAGGTGAATTTCTAGCGCTACTCGTATCCGACTCGGACTTTGCTGACCATTGCCTCACACCGCCAGATCTTTGGGCGCCGCATTACCATGCTTCTCTCCATCGCGCTCTTTGCGCTGGGCAGCGCCATGTGCGGCGCTGCACAAAACATGAATTGGCTGATTGCCGCGCGGTGTGCGTATACCTTCCTTGCGCTGCGCATCGATTTCCGGCTTACGGACAGTTTCAGCCGTGCAGGGTGCTGGTGGCGGTGGTCTGCTCTCGCTCTCAAGCATCATCATCTCGGACCTCGTACCGCTCAAGGAGCGTGCGATTTACAATGCGCTGATCGGAGTGTATGTCTGCCGTGCTCTGGCTTGCGCTGCGTCATTAATTGGGCTTTCCTGAAGGACTTGGGCCTTCGCCGCTGCTCTGGGACCACTTGTAGGCGGCGGTCTCGCTGAGCATGGGCAGTGGCGTTGGCTGTTTTGTGAGCCACTTTCATTTTGCCGCCAACGACTTCACGGCTGACGCCTGTACCCAGACCTCAATCTACCCGTTTCAGGAGTTGCAGCACTTCTCGTCATTGTGTTTCTCAACCTGCGCGCACCCCCTGGTTCCTGGACAGAAAAGCTCGGTCGGATGGACTGGATGCAGGTGTCTCTCACGCCAATGCTCTGGACTGATGTTAACCATCACTTGCAGTGGCAATGTCCTGATTATCTCGAGCTCGAGCTCAGTCGTCCTCGGCCTGACATGGGGTGGAGTTCGCTATGCCTGGTCCTCTGCAAGGGTCATTGTCCCGCTGGTGGTTGGCTTGGTTGGAATGACTATATTCGTCTTGTATGAGGCGAAGGCCACTAAAAACCCCATCATTCCTGTGTCCTTGTTGTCCAACAGGACCTCACTAAGCGGGTATGCCCACCATGACTACCGTATGACCTGACATACTGACTTCCGCCTCAGATATATTCAAACGTTCATTTGCCCCGTTGTCATCTTGGCTGCTATCTGTCAGTGGCATTGGCATACACTGCATTTGGTCCTTTACTGATGGCTGTTCCCGGCGTAGATTTTGTCCCGACGTACCTTCAGGCATGCAAGAGCGCATCTCCTATCCGGTCCGGCGTCTTAGAGCTTCCCTACGCGTTTGTGATGGGCGTGATCCTCGTCGTCACTGGCACCACTATCGCTGTCAGCAAGGCCTATCGGGTGCAGCTCTGGGTCGGCTGGGTCGCATTTATGGTCGCCATGGGTCTGATGTCCACAGTCCATGCTGAAACTTCGACGGCGCACCTCGTCGGCTATACGGTCATCTTGGGGTTCGCGGCGGGTATCGTTTACTCGGCGACCTACTTCCCGGTGCTTGCTCCTCTGCCCGTGTCCGAGAACGCGCATGCGCTCGCACTTTTTTCCTTCTTCAGGTCCTTTGCTGGAGTATGTAGCCCTCTTTCTGTGCCGCGAATATTACTAAATCTGATCAAATTACCTAGATATGGGGCGTAACTATCGGCACCGCTGTCCTCCAGACGCAGCTCAGCCACCGCTTGCCCGCCCAATTCATCGAAGAGTTCCCCGGCGGCGTCTCGATCGCGTACTCTGCCATCCCCGTCATTCCCACTTTGGCTGAACCGCTCCGCACCCAGGTTATGAGCGCCTTCGCCGACAGCCTCGCTGTTGTCTGGCAAGTGATGACTGGCATCGCCGGAATTGGCCTAGTTTCTTCCATATTTATGAAAGGTCTGCCGTTGCATACCGAAGTCGACGAGAACTGGGGCATAGAGGAGAAGAAGCGCGGCGGGATCACGGTGAAGGTTGAGCTCCTCGCCCGGCAGCCCGCGTAACGGTCATTCTCTCCTCCGTAACGTCGATACGTCATTATCGGCGACACGCTTTATCTATTTCTGTACGACGACGTCAACAGAACGAGACGAAGGACTTGTCGAATTAGCAGCTATAATCATCTAATATCAATGGACTATATGCACTTCAATGATGAGACGTCCAGCTCTCGAAGCTTACCTTCTGTTTGCTCACCTTCACCCCATCTACACGTCCAGCCTTCGCGTCTGCGTTGCATTCTCGCACCATGACACCTCAGGATGCTCGTTTCCGCAGTCTGCGCTCAACTTCTCGATGATAAGCCAAGTCGGGACCGTCTCATCCTTGGTTCGGACTTGTCTCTTCGACTGTGTCGACGTCGTGCTCAGATTTTCTGCAGCCGCCGCAACTGCGCACTCTTCCTGCTAGACTGCATCATGTTCTCCTTCAGCGTCGAGGCGCAGTTTTACACGCCCCACCAGGCGACGCTTTTCCAAATGCGCATCAACGCCGCGCTCAAGATTTCACCACTGATCAGCAGGTGCACGTGCACATTGTAAAATGTGAATACCCGAAAGCGAAACGCTGTAGCTGATGCTGAGCGTTGTTATTCCTTATAGCCCCGAGGTTGGCGGCGTCAAAGACGCGCAGGAAGTTGGTGCTGCTCAGCCGACACCGGCTGTGATGCTGTGGTGCCCAGCACCAGGCACCTCGAACGCTTGATTGTCACGAAAGCTTAGGGTGATAAATACGAAGGAAGCGCTGTAAGGCCGTGTCCTTGCGAACCTTGTCACCATGAGGCGAGTAGATGTGCGCTAGCCGGGTGCTACAGCGCTAGTAGGGTCTCGCTAGGCGCTTGGGAGAGATTTGAATTGTGCGCGCTTGCAACCGTGCTTACGCGTTGTACTCACGAAGTAGATGGACGTGCACTGGTACGATCTAGCTCTGGTAAGCCCGGTGTCCACAATAAATCCGTATATATCATACTTATAGTCACACCTCGCGCCTTACAGACCCCTGGGCCTCTCTGTTATCTTGTTCCGCAAGATGTCGCCCTCTGCAGGAGCTGAGCTGCCATCCGAAATACTATCATCCATCCTGAACCATATCATGCCAGACCTTAATGATTACGACTATTCTGGTCACGAAAAATGTCGCCTGTTGAAGCACGAGCTCGTTGCACCCAGCCTCGTATGCAAGTACTGGACAGAAGCGATTAGGCCCTTCCTTTTCCGACGACTTATCTTGCGCAGCGCCGAAGACGTACAGTTCCTGAAGAGGATTGTCTACAATCCTCAGTTCCCGACATCGTCTCTATCCGGGGCCATTGAGCGGATAGATATTTATCAGCAGACTACGAAGACCAAGCCCTGGCTTCACCACGTCCATGGACTTTCGGCCCGACTCCGGCAGACAGTGTTCATGTGTACCATCGACAGCCGTTCGGAAGATACCGCGTCACCGGTTGGCCGTTGGACCCCACTTGATTCGACACCTAGCGTTACTCCGTCTTATGTACCGCTTTCCGTCCTTGTCCTCAACGGGCTGGTATTCACCAGTACAACCGAGCTCGCACGACTCGTCGACAGCTTCGCAACGCTCGTGAACTGTTATTTTGACGGACTCACCTTCCTCGACTCGCTCCCGATTGTCCAGTCCCGCAGGAGTCGGCGGCGGTTTTCGTCAGCCCTCGATGAGTGCGAAATATCACGGTGCAAAGAGATAGACCTTTCCGCCCAAGCATCACTTGCCTGTGATCTCCTCGTGGCTGCTGCTCGCTTGGGTCTTGAAGATCATCCATGGAGTGCAGTCCTTCAAGCGTTGTTTACGCTGGTCCCAAGCACGTTTAATGGAGCGTTTGTGCGGCTTCGCGATCGGCGCGGCAGGATGTTTGGTATGTTGTCTACATAACGAGGACAGTGCGAACTTATTGGCTATTCCTTGATAGACAACGCAACAATTGATTGCTTTTCACCTGCTCAAGGCGATTCTGCGGGTAATTCTATCGAAGCTGAAGTTGAGGTACGCCGACCAAGCGCGAGCCGGGATGCGGAGGCTCCGGTTGCGTATATCGAGAAGGTTACCCTGCGACTCTCATTCACGGACGCTGAGGTCGTTGATCTTCTTCCTTGGGATGTCTTGCGAACCGTTATCGATTCCCCGTTGCTGCATTGTCTCCGTATCGAGTCCCGTTGGCGACAAGACGACGAAGGCTACGAGACGACGAGGAGGATTCTGTGCTCTGTCTTGTGCCGCACGCAGCTGCCCTGGGCCCTTGAATCAGGCAAGCTGCAGTTCGGGCACCACCACCCGGATAAATCTGTTACAAGTGCAGACATCTTATCTGTACCGACAGAGCATACCGTCGATGATACCACGATCACTCTCGACGCCGCCGAGCAGGCAGAATACCTGCTGCGCATCTTTCACCCGGATGGGAGGGAGAAATACCTGCGGGAGCTTGCGTCTGCGCGGCGCACGAGCGTAGCATCTGCCCACGGGACCTCCGCAACTGCGCCGTCTACTGCAAGAGGGACCCAGGGTATAACGAACGTACAAGTCCAGCCTGAGAGGGCAGAGGAAGCCAGTGAACAGGGAGGTGAAGACGGTACAGGGGCAGACAGGGAGGACGACCAGGTGGGCACGGGAATAGAGAGCTAGGTCGATGGTGGATATCAGACAATGTGGGAGGCCGTACCGCTGGCCGAGCGGTCGAACTGTGGTTGAAGGCGCGCCCGCAGAGGCCTCTGAGAACTTCAAAAACTGGCGCCCAATTCGATGGACGGCGGGATAAAGCAGCTACGTTGGTGACTGGGCAGAACGGTCGGAAGTGATCCGTCGAGGAGAGGTACTTGGGCGTCTATGCTGGACTTACGGCTAAAGGGTCTGACGGCGGGTTACGGCGTAGCCCAAAAATTACTATCTGTGGCCCGGACGATCTGTTCGTGGTTGGTTCGACATTGTTTTCTTCCCGTCACTTGGTATCTGAAACTTGCGTATAGCACATGTCTCGCTCGTCACTCTTTACATGATGTTTCAGTTGTCTCGCAAAACCTCGGCAGTACACTCTACTTCACTATTTTGCCTCACCTTCTTGTATGTTTCTTCGGTTTTTATGCAGACGTAGACTGTGAGACAGCCGTGTTATGTTTTGAGTCCAACGCACTGTAAGCCTCAAGCTCGAGAGAATAGAACAATAGAGAGCAACGATCGAGGTTCAGAATCATACCCAACAGACAAAAGAATACAAGTAGATGACCAGAAACCGCCCAAACGAGATTTGAAAAAAGCTAATAATCCGATGTGAGAACAGTTTCCGCGCGGTCGCAGCGACCAAGAATGAGTCTGATTGCTTCCGCACAATTTTTGCATACGAGGCTAGTGGCCATGGCCTGCGAGGCGCCGCCCATGGCCTAGTGGCTCTTTATATCCTAATTCCCTACATCCCTTCATCTTTGATGGACTCTCACGCGGACATACCAACATTCTTTCAGCTTGTGAGTTACAGCTGGACTTATGGAGTGTGTTATTGACTAGAGAGCAACAGAGTCCTGTCCGACATTGTCCGAAAATTGCCCACGAACTTCCCAACCTGGTTAAATCCCTCAAGAATGCTGGACCCTAGAGATAGCAGCAAACTCATCAGAAACTGGAGTATGCAAGGAGGCGATGCAATGAAACATACTGGATGAACCACTCCTGGTTAGTCGCGACAGAGAGTCCTCCGTGCGCGTTCTGCGTAGCCTGACAATTAAATGCGAGGTTGTCGAGGATCGAAGCCTGGGAAAGCGGTCCGCGTTCAGCAACGAACATGGGATCTCTTGCTAACTTAACATACCCAGTCAGTTCGGCAGTATGTCAGAGCGACACTGTCCTGGTTGACCATGAAGCTCTCGCAGCTCTGGTAGGTCATTGTGATGACGGAGGTGTTCTGCGCGGGATCGAGCGTGAACAAAGCACCTGAAACGTTCCCGGTCAGTATGCTCTCGGCGAAGTGCTAGTTCAGATGGCTTACCAACGTTCTGGCTGTCGTAGAGCAAGGCATCGGTGATGACGTGGCAGTCGTTAGGGTCGGGTCCTCCGCCGGAGGGAGTGAAGCAAAAGGTGTTGACTGTGCTTTCGGTCAGCAAACGAATGCTACGGAGATGAGAGACACATACAGGGCGTGCCACAGACGTTGTTGCTCTGCCTCGCCTCGATGGCATGGGCGACTTGGGGCGCAGCAACAGTGTCGCAAGCAGTGTGCTGTACGAGCACGTTCTTGTCACGTCCAATGTACTCGGTACTGACAACGCGAGGGTTCTGGCAGTACTCGACAGAGGGCACGGCTGCGGCGAAGGCACTCGGAAGCAGCAGCGCTGCGGCGACGATGGCTCGGATGGCGTACATGGTAGATGAGCTGGTGGGTTGCGAACGCTAGGCGAAGTACGCTGGAGGTATACGGCCATCGCAGGCACGTTATATATGCCTGGGCGAACGTGCCAAGGACATATGAAGCGTCACTGCTGTTATGCGGCGACGGCCATGGAACCCCGCCTCGTCTTCTGCCTATGTATCTAGGCTTGCTGGCAACGGCTCTGGAAGGTCAACAGCCTATGCGTTGGAATCATCGGACCTAGGGCCGGAGCCGACCTCATTGATCCTACATTATGTCAAGATGGAAGGCTCTCGCTGAATGTTAGAAATGGAAATAAAAATAAAAATATGGTACCTGAGAGCCGTTCTAGCTGCGAATCATTATGCGCATCACGTCTGACTAGTTTAGATTTGTAGACTCGGGCAGTCCAACTTACGACCACGTCCGGGCACCATGGCCGCGATGAACGTCTGAACTCCATGTGACGTCTGAAGCCGGCGGGTCGGATCAACGGCCCTGAGAACTGCATGTCAGCCATAGCAGAAGGAGACCAAGCTTGAGCTAATTTATTCTCGCGGAGCGGATTATGCCCACCTATCAAAGTTATTATCAAGGCAACGGCCTCATAGCCCGTCTTCACAGCTCCGCTTAGCCTGTGGTTGAGCGAACGTAAAAGGCTGAGGATGCTACGTTTCCGGTATACTTCAAAATGGCGCTACACCGCTGGCGACTTCTGACAGAAAATGAGTGCCCGGGACTACCAAACTTGAAAGCAGAAACATAGCCATCTATAGGCCATCGACAGCTCACTAGGACTCTCACATGGTTGATGTCAGATGATCCCTCAGGACGATGGGCAGTACCGCGGTAGCAACCATGTCGGCACTAACGGCATGAAAGCCGAGTAGACAGAAGACGACGGCTTTCCCGGTGTCAAATAAATGCGAGCAGCCGACGTCAACGCCGTTTTGCTCGTTCAGCTTGGCCAACTCCACCAATAGCATATATACTTTGAAGCGGCACGATCATTTCCAAGCCGCGTCTTCTCAAGGCACGCTTGGCCTGGTTCCTAGACATGTGCCTGCCATCATGACAGAAGTCAAGAAGTTGATCGAAAACCTACTTTGAAGCAAACTCTTGAACTCGCAGGTCTGAATTTTGAAACCACTGCATGCCACAAGGACGGCGCTTATTGAGCGATAGATCACGTGATTTAAGGCAGAGCTCCGTTTCCCGATCGCCGTGACTTTCGACTTTCGACTCTCGACTACCATCTCATCTCCTGAGCGTAACTAGTTTCGTACCGGGTCGGAGAGACGCCAAATATGTATTGGTAGAAGGGCCGAGCATTCGTACGTCGTCTTTGAATGCTGCATCGAGCTCTACCAATACTCGAGAAACTTCTGGCGCTGCTCTCGCGGCCGGTACCTTGGATGTACTCAGCCCATGCGTAAGCCATGTTTGATGTATTCGTTTTGATTTTTGCTAAAATGAGGAGCGTATTCCAGCTGTTCCAAGACCCCCGACAAATCTTCAGAACTCGAGACTACTCGAGACCACTCCGCAGGCGCTAGAGCAAAATGCGTCGCCGCGTTTGGTAATCCCGCCGTCACCTGAGGTGGCTTGACCCGCCCGACGCTACCACAAGACTCGTCAGCCCCGTATAATCGCGAAATGCAAGGCGGAAGAGCGTCGGGCGGGTCAAGGTATCTTAGGTGACGTCCTTCTCTCGCTCTAGTGCCTGCGGAGTTTTCGAACTCCGAGTTCTGAAAATTTGTCGGGGGTGTCTATCGTTCTTGGAACAGCAGTCACTAGATGTCCTCTTCCCAAGCGCAGATCATGCTCAAACGTCTGCAAAAGATTCATCATTTCCGCTTTATTCTCTCCAGCACACCGAAGATGCTTGGAAGTTCTCATGTCAAGACGGCGAAGTGCGGGGGTACTGCTATGACGCGTACGAGTTCTTGGACGCGTCGCGAGCATTCGTTGCTGGTGTCGCTGTTGCCTGGACGGCAAAATTATGCTATTGGCTTAGCTAAATTAGCCATATGGCCCGAGAATCGTCGTAATGACGACCTGCTGGGCCGTCTTCCACCACGCTCCCCCAATTTAACGCATTTTCCTCATCTCACTCTGCGATCTGTGCATGACAGCTGCTGCAGTGGCCTTAGCCCCGGGAGGATCTGGTTCTAGCAGACTGTCACCCGTCTCTCGCCACTTGACGCCTCGCCAGTTGTCCGAGGAGAGTCATCATTTGTTCAAAATGTAAACTGGTGGGTTGCA